AAGGTATGAAAGGGGGACTCAGAGACCTGTCAGAAAAATTACAAAATTAGAGCTGAGCACTGCATTCAGCAAATAGATGATACTGAGATGGCAGAAGTAAGTAGTGCTGGGAGCTAGGTTAAGATCTCACACTCTGCAATTTTCAGTAACAGGAAAAAATCACTTTGGATATTTTTTATATATATCTGCATTTTCTCTTAGGTCTCGCTACTGGTAAACATGTAAGTCAGCACCTCTCTTCTTTACCTCTTCATTCTTTCCAGGACTGCTTCACTGTAAGCATAAGAAAAAAAAAAAATTAAAAGAGTAATACCCTGCTGATACCTATTTCGTGATTCTTTTAATCCTGAAAATTGCTTTCTCCTCCATTCTTTCAGCCTCACTAATTGAAATGCTCCAGGGAACAGTCCTTGTGGAAATAAGAAAGAGCACCTAAATTGTACTTACATTGCATGTCAAAACAAACATCAGATGCTTAAGACAACAAAAATAGCACTGGGACTCTAAGCAAATACACTGATTTTTGCTATCCATGCTACTATCAAAATACATATAGCAGATTCATCATCCCACTGAAGAACTGTAGCTGTAGAACACAGTTTTTGCACTGGAACTCCAGTAACCAAGAAAAAGACCAATTGGTATTCTATATTCCCTCAAAAAAACACCCTTGGCTCATGGCATTTCATCCTGAACGAACAGGTTTATACACATGCAACTGCACTGAAACAAACCTGATGGCAGCAAATTGCATAGTGAAACTGGAGGTACTTCAAATGCCGAACCATAAAGCTCTCTAGGACTGGAACAGAGAATCAAGATGGCATGCTTACAAAAACAGCACAAAATAGGTGGCTCAGAAAGAATGGTCACAGTATCTGTGGAAAGGGTTTGAAACTGCAGAAAGGGAAAGAGTCTATGAAAGCCCTGTGAAGTCACAAGAGGAAGAAAAAGGTACATTTCCTGATGGGAAATATACTAGAGAAAGAACAAACAAAGAAATATTACTTGTGGCACTGAAGAAAAACAGAATCAAACAAAAACAGAAACAAATCAAAATGTTCTGGGGAAGAAAAAAAAACCCAAAACAAATGTCAAAATCCCACAACTTTATATGCAAGTTACAGTGAACATTCATACACAGTGTGTTGTATAGCTATACACTTAAAGACCTATCTTATGTAACTTATTCTTTGTCAATGCAGAACTAAAGAAATGTGTTCCTTTAAGGAATAAATTCACTATAAAGGTCTTCCTAAAAATAGAAGATGGGAAAAAAATATAATTGCTTCCTAAAACTGGTCCCTGGTCAAAAAGGACATACATAATCACCTGCCAGCCTTCCTGCTGAGAAAGTCTGAAGCTTTTGTACTACTTGAGTTGACTCCTACTCCTGTCAACATTATCTGACTCCAGGAGCAGGTTCTGAGGACCACTTACACAATGAGACATCATGGCACAGAACTGCAAGTGTCAGAACTTGACCCTTACAATATAAAAAGGATCAGATCATTAAAACATGTCAGCATATGTCCATTTTTGTTGAAGTCTACAGGTATATTCACACGTGAATGACTTTGGGATGAGGAAAATCAAACAATCTACCAAAAAAAAAATCTTTAAATTCTATTGAATGAGGAGTATCCCTGTGCTTTCTGTATGTGTTACTCTTCCCTCAACTGTGTAATTCTTGGCACTTAGTAAGAAGTACCCAGCATGGTGCTGGACTGTTCCTCATAAGAGCTGATTATGCTCCCACAGCCACTTAGAGGAAGATTTAGAAGTATGAAATAAGTACCTACACACCTACATTTTCTCTTCATCTTTTAAAGTATAAAAACATCAACTTAAAATAAAAAATACACCTGGCAAATGAAAATTAATTTATTATGCTTAAAATTATTTCAGCCACTCAATTTGCCTCCCAGTCCTATGTGCAAAAGGCCAACTACCAGCAGTGACTGCAGCACCAGCTAAAAGCACAAGATTTACACTGGCACTCTTATTAGAGCTGAGGTAATTTAAGAGGAATGTCAGCACAAATTTACTTTTCTAACTTTATTACTCTGCTTTAAGAAGAGAAAGAATGCCCACTACTGTAATTTTTTAAATATTTACAAAATCTTTGGTATCTGGTTTTAGTCGCACAGAGTTAAAACCAAAACTCTAACATCACCCTACATCACATTTCTTTCATAAGAAAATAGAACTAAAGAATAAGAAAAATCACATTTAGTGAAAATAAAGTGTTTAAAGAGAAATGCGATCACTCTTCACACTAGATAAAATTCAAGGCTACCATTGAATTAAAAGGAGCTACACACAGACTGCTCTGCAAGCTGTGAGCTTGTGAATCTGGCTTCCAATAGGTAACTGAGCCATTCAAACCCACTAACCTTTGAATGTGCAGGTTCCAGTCATAGAGAGGCAAAAGGGGATGAAAATCTCAAGCTAATCACATCTATGCCAGTTGCATAACTTTAATCCTGAATCAGAGGCCACATTCTCACCCTCCTGTCTGCAGACTGAACTTCCTTCTCTTCGTTTGGCAGAGAACAATGTAACCTACTTTTAAATAATCTTTATTCCTCTTTTAAGAGAAGGATGAGGGAAACTGTCCTGGTGGCCATCCAGTAGTGACCTTTTCTCACAGCACAGAGATATTTCAAAAAGCACCTCTGTACCATCAAGCCTTCCAAAGTCATCTCTAACAGACATCTATTTTATCATTACAGAAACACAGGAAAGAAATTAAGAAGTTGAGCAGAATACAGAAGCAAAAGGGAACCATGTGGGGAAAAAGCAATGTACTCTTTGGCTTTGCAAATAGCAGGCAACAGAAAAACCACTGATGTACCATGATACTTTTCCTATTAAACCAAATACCTTTTTGAACATAAATGTTTCTAACAGCAACATTAAGGATTAAAACAAAAGCCATCCTGTGTAGTCAAAAAGGAGTTCTAACAGAGGGAACCAAATGAAGAAGCAACAATTTACTTCCTCTATCCCCTCCTGCTCTGCCTAATGCCTGCAGTTGGGAAGGCACTGTCCTCAGGTGGTGGTGCCACTCAGCCCCTGCTCTCTCAGACAAGGCTCCCAAGATGATTCCATTTTGAGGTAGACACCTGTCCACTGGCAACAAGCATGAGAGCATCAACTGCAAAATGAGGCTACCACATGGCAACATCTTTCAGTCACTACAAAACTTGCTTCCAAATTGAAACAGCTACCAAGAGGTGAAAAGCTCCATATCACATTTCTAATCCCTCCTCTCTGCAACTTTTTTTTTTTTCACTTTGTAATGATTCATGTAAGTTTTCCTGGTCTTATAAAGCTTGCTCCCTCTAATATGTGCCCCAAATCGCTTTGACTCTCATGTAGCAAGGATTTTTACAATGCATGTGAGAAATATTCTGTTGCTCATTATCTATTTGAAAACACATACTTAAGAAAAAAGGTCAGATAAAAATTGGTATAATGTGGAGCTCTAGTGGTAGTGAAGAAGTAAAGCAGCAAGTAACACCAACCATGAAAAAGTAGATATTGACCTTTAGTAGGGAAACAGTAAGTGAAAATATGATAACAGATGGATTTAAACAAGGAAGAAGAAAGAGGGAAAGAGCTTAGCATCAAATTAAACATAATTTCCGGCTCACAGAACGCATCACTGCAAAAAAACATGATGAGTAACTCTCTTTTCTGCGCACAAACTTGCATCCTGTAATTCAATGCAGTTAAGTGACAGAAAAAATAAGATCAGTTTGCTTATGTTAGCCTTAAAGGAAAAATATACACATATATATAACACAGTAGGAAACCAGTGTCCCTTATCAAAACTAACTGGGAGTTGAGTAATTCTATGCACTCTTTAAAACAGTCCTAGTCACATATATTGTCCTTCCCATGATAGCTGTGGCAACTCCAACACCAGCAAGTAAGTACTCTGTTCTCAGCTGTACCATCACAAAAATAGAGTAGCAACCACTGTAGGCAGCTTTAAAACTGAGATTCGGCAGTCCCTTCAGACCGATGAGTTTGGCAGGAATTGTATCCTAAACAACGAAAGCTCCTTCCTTATATACAAGTACTATCTCACATCCTGCTGGCAAGCATAATCAGCTTAAGTCCTGCTGACAGTCGATATTCCACCTGTAAAGGAGACGGTTTTTCATACAGAGTGAGAGGACAGCCAAAGCATCCTCTGCATCTAGTGTGTCTCATCACAGAGGATGCTGGAATTCCTATATCCCCCTGTGAAACACTGGCATTATTTTCTTAATTTCTAAGATGCTAGATGAACTTGGGCATATGTTAGAAGAAGTTTATAAAGCTAGAACAACATTGACAGTTATCAGACTATCACAAAGGAGCACAAAGACCACAGAAACATTGCAGCATGAATGTACTAGACATCTAATACTAGCAGTATTAGAAGGACCCATTTCCAAAGTCAAGTGATATCCCTGCACAAACACACACAGTTTTGAACCTTCAGTAGGAAAAACCTGCAATTTCTTCCTAGGGAAACTGCTTTCCGCCAAGACTACAGAAAAACAACACTGTAAAAGGTTCATGTATATATTACTGCTAACTTGCAACAGACTCTCCACCTATTTCAATCCATGTTATAAATTGTTCAACATTTTTGCTAGGGGCCTTTGCTCCCAACTTCCCAAGCTGGGTACACAGTGCCTTGATTCAGTACTACCTCATTTAAGACAGAATATATTTCATCCGCGAGAGTAGATCATTAACGTCTTCATAAGTGTTCTTGTTTGGCAACATCCAGCCTAATGAGAGGTTTTTATTAGCATTAATTCCCATCTAGGGCCACAGCAAAAACCAATCACTCTGGGCTTTACATCTTTCCCACCCAGGAACAGCTGTTGATTGAAGGCATCCCTGGACCTGAATTAGGTGTATTTCAAAAACATGGGGTACCAAACAGCCCAGAGTTACAAGGCTCCGAGAGGAGATTTCCAAGCTGCGTCTGTTACCTGGTGGGCAGTTGCACTCTGGAGCCGCTTCTCTCGCTACTCGTATTTTTGCCAAGTGCTCGTAGGATTTCTGGGGGCGAGAGAAGCAACGTGAGGGCGGGCACTTGGCGAGCGAGCTCTCCCGCCACAGGCAGCGCTCCCAACCGCGGCCGCTCGCTGGAATTTACCGCTATGCCAGAGGCTGCGCAACCAGCGGCGGCTTCTTGGCTCGGACTCGGCCTAAGGTGTCTCAGTGCCCTCACCACCCCCACACCAACAACGCCAAGCCCGGCACCGGGGGTCTCTCCCACGGCCGCCGCAAGTGAGCCCGCTCTTTCTGCCCGCTCGGCACGCGCGGTGGAGAGGCGCAGGGACGGCGGCAAGTTGGAGACGAGAAAATCGCCTCAGCGCCGGCGCACGCAGGGCTCCCCCGCCATCCCCATCCCGCCGCCCCAGCAGCCCGGGGCGCCCCCGGCCCGCTCCTCCCCCGGCCCCGCCGTCCCCTGGGGTTGCTGGCTCACTTTCCCCGCTTCCCCCTCCACCTCCCACCCGAGCAGCTCGCCCCGGCCACCGTCCTCATGGCCTCGGCCGCCTCCCGCCCCGAGCATCCCTCATGCCCCCCACACGCACACCGCACGGCAGCGGCCAACCCCGTCCCGCACACCTGGGCGAGAAGTCGCTCCACTTTCTCCTGCATCATAGCGTTCAGCTGCTCCAAGGAAAAGCCGGGCAGCGGCGGGAGCGGGGCGGCGGCAGAGAAGTCCCCTCGGGCGCCTTCGATGGCCGCGACCCTGGCCTGGAGGTCGCTGGTCCGCACCCCCAGGTAGACGCAGGAGGCCGCGGCCAGCGCCGAGAGGAGCGCGGCCAGCGCCGAGCCGACCGGCCCGGCCCGCCGCGGGCAGCGGTCCCCGCCGCAGCCGGGCTTCCCGAGGCCGGGCTTCCCGTTGCCATCCCGTCCTGCGGCTCCTCGGCTCTTCCCCAGCGTGCTCGCACACCCTTCAGCTGCGGCAGCTTTGATTTCCTTTCCTCCGCCCCCCATGGAGGCAATTAGTTTACAAACAACGATAACAAAAATAACAGCAACGAAGTAGGAGAAATTAAATTAACAAAACGGCAAAACAATTATTTAAAAGACCAAAAAAAAAAAGATAAAAAACCCGCGGTAAGTAGAAGCAAAGCCCGCAGCCGGCTCGCACACTTTGAAGGCGAAGCGGCGGCGCTCCGCAGCCCGCACCGCACCGCCGGCAGCGGGTCGCGACCCACCCCGCGGCAGAGGCGGCAGCGGGAGGCGGGGGCGACGAGCCACAAGCCGGCAGCGGGGCTGGGTGCGAGGCGTGCCCCCGCTGCTTCCAGCCGCCCTTCGGAGGGAGCAGCGTGCTCTGCGAGCGCTTTGCCACTTGTCAGAGAGGTTTTCAGGCGCGGGGCGGGAAGCGCCCCCCCTCCGCCTCTTCCTCCCCTCCCCGCTGCCGCCGCCGCCGCCGGAGGACTTGTTGCTCCCGCTCCACCTGCCTGCCGGCGCCCAGCAGCCGCGCCGCGCCAGGCGGGGAAGCCCGCAGGCGGCAGGCAGCCCGCGCTGCCCCGCTGTCAGCCGCGGAGCCGCCGCCCCGCATCCCCGCCCTCATCGGCATAATTTATTCACCTAGGCGGAGGGGCGGCCGGCGGGCCGCGGGGGGCTCTCTTCGCACAGTGTATGCACGGCGTGCAGGGCATCAGACTCACAAATTAGGAGGGCGAGGGTCGCAGAGGCCGCGGGAGGGGGCTGCAAGGGGCGGCTGGCCGCGCCGGGGCAGCTCCGGAACACCGAGCAAATTTACAGCGGTTTATGGCTGGGCTGTCATGCCCACGTTGCGGGCATAAAGCACGGGAGTGCTCCGTTGTCCCGTTCTTTTTTTAGAGTGCGGAGGATAAACGTGTATAATTCACTGTCGCAGGCAGGCGACCCGAGGGCTCACTTCCAAAGAAGCAGCCTGCACTAGCTTCCTATTGTATTAAGGTTTAATTTTAGCCAGTTTTCTTTCTGCTTGTTTATTTATCAAGTTGCTTGTTCACTATTCCATGCACACTGTGAAGTTTTCATTGTGCCTGCTTTGGTTGACTAGAAAAGGAGCATCAACGTCTAAAGAACTGCAGGTGTGGCCTGATGGGAAGCTTGGCGGTTTCTGGTGCTTTCCTCTCAGCCTCTTACTGCCCAAATGTTGCATTGACCTGCTGTAGTTTGGTTCTCACCTTGGCATTACTGCAGTGCATCTCCTATAAGGCACTTTTGTGTGACATTTCTTCTGTTTGGGTACACTTTTTGAACCAGAGAAACTTCTCAAAGCAGGACCAGATGTTGAAAGAACACATAGCTCACCCGGTTTGGCATTTACATATGTGAACACTGACTATTACAAGATATGTGATGAAAAAGAGATTTGTCCAACTATGGCACTTCTCAGACGAGACCAAGAGTGTTGGTTTATACTGTGAATCAAATTTCCTTATGGAATCATATTTGTGCAGTTTTATTACCTATTGTTTCCCAAGTATTCAAGCAGTCACAACTGCCACGAAGACATGAATCCAAAAAAGCTCTGTGGGTTTCAGTCTCATTACTTAGACTTTTAATGAAGTGTACCAGAAGTTCATAGCCAGTCATTTATTCTTCATAATTTGTCTCTTCTTTCTAAACAAAAAGTTTTGTGTACTCTAGTCAGAGAGAAGAAACCATGATTACATAGCCCTAGGTGATAGTTTCTTCACAATAAGCAGTTAAGGGTTGCAAGGGAGAGTTTACAAACAAATTCCACCAAGCAGCACATACCTTATGGTCAGGACTTGGGAATAACAACTGCACTTTTCAAAACAAGGACTTGCTCACAGACTATCTGTCGGCAATAAGAAGTTGAAATAGTATTTGGAATTAATAAACTGACAGCAGAAAATAAGTAATACCGACATGCTCTTATTTGGCGCTCAGCATGGGCTCCCCGAGTATGGTCTGAGCAGTGCCCAGGCTGCCTCAGAGTGGCTGGCAGCACACGAGGCGCTGGAAGCCACTGGCGCCAGCTCCAGCACTTCACATTACCCCCTGTTGTTAGTAGCCAGCACCATTACTCACCCCTGCTCGTGGTGACATCCAGCAAAGGAACCCTGCAAACCCTCAGGATACCATTGCCATTTTCTGCAGGGGGTTAGCGAGGCGCCGCTGGGAGCAGGATGGCTGCCCGCGGCCCGCTGCTGCCTCACGGCAGCACTGCCTCACTTGTGGGGTGCAGCTGGGTGCTGCTGGTCTGGGCCAGGGTGACATCTCCTCCTGGGACCAGCTCTTCTTATTTCAGGGCAGACACAGACATCCTCTGGCCGCTTCAGTGCCACCCACATGGGGCACAGACAACCACATACCCATAGGTCAGCGTGACATGGTTTGACGTTTTGCTTGGCCAAATGATGCAATCTTTCTGCCCAAGCATCTTTCTGTCCCAGCATCATGCCATCCATTCATTTTGGACAAGGCATATTCTACATCAGAAATTTAATAGCCTGAGACAGGAAAGTCCCTTGTTACATTAGATTTGCGCATACTTGCCATCATAAAGGTTGCCAAATGAGCCAGATTATAATGTTTCTATTGGTTACAGAGCAAAGCCATTTTCCTAATAAAAATTTCTATTCTATTCCTAAACTGAATAACAATCCCATGCTAGGTGTTTTTTATTCTGAAGAGGTATGATGGGAAACCTTTTTTTTTTCTGTCCAGGACAAACAGAAAAATCTGCCAAACTAGAATCAAAGTCCAAGCTGGGAAAGCAGAACTCTAAAATACCCAAGAAATTGTTTCCATGCTCTTTCTCACAATGGGTAACTATACTTCTACACAACTGGAAGAAATGCTAGCCCTGCCTGGTCTCAGGTCCGAAAAGAGATGAGGCTCATGCTCATGTGTACATGCGTCTGCTCAAATATATCCTCAGACAAAGGGAAACACAATGAAGAAGAGTGAGAGGAGAAAGACCAGTGCCAAGTCTTCCTCCTTGCCCCAGCTTAAAGTTACATTTTTCATTTTTCTTTTTGCTAAAGCTTGGTTCTCAGAAAGATGTCAGCTAAAAGTTTGATAAAATGCTTATAAATTACTTGATAATGGCAGAGTTAGAAAACAATTTTTTTCCCATAGCTTTTTCCCTAATGTGTTTTCACCTAGAAATATATAACAGAGTTTTTGAAAATGCAAATTAGCAGTGTCCTCTGCTTGCAGCAAAAGCATGGTAATTTTCCTGATGGAGGCATTATTTATCCACTTCACTGCAAGGTTGGTCCAGAACAGACTGGAGTGGACTGCAGAATCCAAGCAGCAAGCTAAATTATGCACAGTATGATTAAATCTAGCACAGGAGTTGTTTGTGTAGGCGAAGAACATAACACAGATGTTTTACCTGTTATAAAAATCTCCAGTCACGTCTGCCTGAGCTGAGAGCATTAAAGCAGCCATACCCTCCCATGCTCAGTTACTTGATACCATCAAGTGGACAACCAGCAGCTTTGCAGTACATTTGTCCCATCTAAACACAATCAACCAGAGGAAAAAAGTGTTAAGGCACAGCATTCGCTGCTTTTGCCAGCTTTCCACAAGCGGGAGGCAGAGCGAATCCAGGACATGCATATGCTCAGTGCCAGTGAGCCTGCTTCTTATTTTGCAGCCATGATGATGCCAGAGTCAAGAAGGCATCTACTTAGGATCATGACTAAGATTAAAACCAGATTGCTGTAGCACTTTTGAGAATGCTATCCATGCAATGAAAGAACAGGGTTTCTTTTTTTTTTTTTTTTTTTCCTCTATCTTAAAACAAGCCACTATATTTTAAACGTTTTTTATTGGTGAAGATTTATAGGTCTTGAATTAGAGGGAGTAACTTGGTCTAACGAGTTAAACTTCTCTTCCAGGAGTAAACCAGACAGCACTTCATCAGGGCAAGAAGTAATTTAACTGCTTGCTTTCAGGAACTCTATCTCAGATGTTGCTGTCACATTTAAGATATACCATGCAAGTTTAGGTAACAAAAAACTTAAAATGCTTTAAAGCCTATTTTCTATCTGATAGCCAGAATACAGCAGCTTGAAATAATACCTGTACACCACGTATTTTGAGCTGGCCACTAACTCATACAGGTAGAGTGTAAGAAATGGCAAATCTGCAGCACTCCACCTCAAACAGTAGCAAAAGTAGGAGAATTTTAAGTAAGGTCTGCTTGAAGTGCTCATGTGCTGACCTGAGGCAGCTAATGCTTCCCACCAAGAGGGAAGTGCTCTTGCTTTGAAGATTCAAATCTCTAAAGGCCACGTTTCAGCAGATCTTGTATATGACCAGGCCCAAGGTATTGACACAAGATGCTACTGTTTGCATTTCATGGGTCTGTGTTTGAAGGTGTGGATGGTGTTTGCAGATAACAGTTTTCCACCAGACAGGACTAGTGTCTGGAGTTCTTTCCATATTTTTATGTCTGCAGCATGATACATTCTGGCTGACCAATCCACAGTCCGTTACTGGATTTCTTTACCAGATACAACATAAACTCGTGACTAAAACAGATGTGTGAAAAACAAGCATTCATCTGCTGAAACAACAAGCCATGTTCAATTTGTGATAGATGTTGCACATATGATCAGGAAAGGCAGAAGGCAGGGAGTAAATATAAATAGGGACTGGAGTCTAGGACCTCGATTTACAGCTGAAGCAACATACACAAAGATAAATGCTTGAATGGTTAATAATGGTTATGCAAACCCTTAGTCTGCAAAAGTTCCCGCTTTCAAACGGAGGTTATATATTATTCATTCTATGTGGAGCCAAATTGTATCTGCATTCTGCTTCTTTCTCCATTCATCTCTCTCCTGCTCTCTCCTGCCTTCAAATCTGAGTGCATCTTGCACCCTAAATGAGATTTTACTCAATTTTGGTTATTTATATAGGGAAAATGCAAGGTGGAAGCAGAATCCAGCTCTTCTCTCACTTCTTAGCTTCCTGGCAGGTTAGGTAGTATGGTATTTCTCATCGACCTGCTC